CTTCTTCACAGCACATTCTATAAAGCAAAGGTGAGAAATCTTTTTCCTATCGGGGCCACTGACTTCTCCCTTAGAAATCAGTTGTGGGCCACACACAACCCTGTGGTCGGCAAAAACGGACAGCACAGTTTCCGGCCTTCTCCTAGACTTCAGGGTGGGGCCAAAAATGAGAGATGCAGAGTATGGGAAGGAGGTTCAGAACTGGGACGCAGGGAGTTTGGATGTGGGGCACTTACCTCAGGCAGCACCCAGTGATATAGCAGGGCCTGCCTTCCCTGGCCCATGCTGCTCCTGGAAGGTGCTATCATGTCCCTAAGGTTGCCCCTGGGATTTCAAATAGGCCTAGTGCACTGCCCTCACTTGCAGGTACCACCCTTGCAGCTCCTGTGGGCCTGTGGTTGCCAGCCAATGGGAGCTGTGGGCATGGCACCTGCAGGTGAGGGCAGCATGTGGGTCTTCTCTTGTGAGCCTGATGCATGCAGCGCCAGCCCAGGAGTTGGGAGGGGAAGAGGAAGAGATATCAAGGTTCAGGGCTTTTGCCCTGCAGTGCAGGGACATGCCGAAGATTGGATGAAATTAAGCAGGGAGCCAAAGGTTCCCCACCCTGCTATAAAGGCTTTTGGGGCCAAATTTCCAGCTAGTTGGCAGAAAGAAGGGTAGCATCCATTTCTGCAATCAATATACTAAAACTGTAGCTACTGACAGACTATAGTGCAGCCTTGTGGACCCTCCTGCAGGGGTTAAATTCCATCCACCAAGATCCCAAATTCACATGCCCCATACAAAGCTAAATTATTTTACGAGTAGAAGACATGATTCCAGGGAATAACTGTGGTAGACCTGACGATGTAAGCAGAAACCCCCCTCCCCAACCACCATTCAACGTGATAGCAGGAAATGGAGCAACTCTGTCCCAGACCCCTGAGCTCTGCAAAGCCTGGCTCCCAGCCATGTTACTCAGGAGAGAAGAGTGGGCTGAGGTTGAGGTGCTCCACTTCCCACAACTGCAACGAAGGAGCAACTTCGCTGGGAGATGGGGCTGGGTTTCTCCATTGCCTACAGTTCCCACTGCTACTGCTGAATGCAGAGCAGACCCGACTTGCTGTCAGTCTCAGGTCTCCCTTGTAATCCCCTAGGGTATGTCTACACTACCGGTGGTTCCCCACTGGGCTCTGGAGTGCAGCGAGGAGCCTCTGCCACCACCTCTGCTGTCCCCTGGTTTGGCCCTGGTCCTCCTATGCCTGCTGGAGGGGGCCCGAAAGACTGGGGCTGCGACCAGGGAGGAGGGTCGGGGCTGGGGCGAGAGGCTGGGAGGAGCCAAGAGGCTGGGGCTGACATGGCCCCAGCCCTCCTGGTGGCCAGGGGGAGAACCGGGGGTTGGCGAGTGTAGCAAGCAGGGCGCACCGCCCGCTAGTTCTATTAACCTCTGGTTGTGGTGAGCAGCTCAGCAGCCCATTTCTGTAGGAGGAAAAGAAAATTCTGTGCACAAATTCTGCACTGTACAGTGGTAAGAATTCCTCTAGTCATAAAAGCTATGTTGGAAAGTATGCCTAATACGTTGTTTGATCTGAACTATACACAGTGAAGTATCCACTATCAGATACCTTAACTGGAGTAGCAAAGTTTCACTGCATTCTTGGTAGCTATTATGTTAGGTATTTCTATTTGCATAAACTTGCAGAGTTTATCCATTGGATGGTTTGGGACAACAGCCTCACACCGTGCACTTTGGGAAGTCTAGGGGTATGTCTACACTACCCTCCTAATTCGAAATAGGAGGGTAAGGTAGGCATACCGCAATTGCAAATGAAGCCCGGGATTTGAATTTCCCGGGCTTCATTTGCATAAAGCCGGCCGGCGCCATTTTTAAATGCCGGCAGTGCGAACCCCGTGCCTAATCCGAACTAGCTACTCCGTGCCGCGTGTAGCCGCGCGGCACGGGGTTCGAACTGCTGGCATTTAAAAATGGCGCCGGCCGGCTTACAGAATTTTCTTTTCCTCCTACAGAAATGGGCTGCTGAGCTGCTCACCACAACCAGAGGTTAATAGAACTAGCGGGCGGTGCGCCCTGCTTGCTACACTCGCCAACCCCCGTCTCTGGGGGTAGTTGGCCCCGGTTCTCCCCCTGGCCACCAGGAGGGCTGGGGCCATGTCAGCCCCAGCCTCTTGGCTCCTCCCAGCCTCTCGCCCCAGCCCCGACCCTCCTCCCTGGTCGCAGCCCCAGTCTTTCGGGCCCCCTCCAGCAGTCATAGGAGGACCAGGGCCAAACCAGGGGACAGCAGAGGTGGTGGCAGAGGCTCCTCGCTGCACTCCAGAGCCCAGTGGGGAACCACCACTAGGGTTGCCAGGTATCCAGTTTTGAACTGGACAGTCCAGTATTTGAGCTTTCTGTTCAGGAAACAAATTGAGAAAATATAAATGTCCAGTATTTTCTAAATAAGAGGTAATGTAGATTGTGATGTAATGTCAAGTGTGTCCAGTATTTTTGTTGAAACCATCTGGCAACCCTAACCACCACCTTCGCCTGGCCTGCACTCAGGAAGCCACCTGCCTGGAATGTATATTTCAAAGGAGGAATGCGGAAATGCCTATCAAATAGTCGATGGAAATTCCACTGACTACTCGACTAGTAAATTACCCATTAGTTAACATCCTTACTTGGAATGGGACTGCTTCTCAGAAAACCATATAGAAGAGCGAAATCACCACCAGGCAGGTAACAGGGGCTAGCTGGCTGCCCTCCCTTCCAAGACAGCCCCAACCCCAAGCCTCCCATTCCCAGGCACGCTTTAGGGAGGCTGGAGGGGGCTGAAGATTTCCCCCCTAACCACGATTTGTATGGGAACATTGCTGAATATTCCCCTTAGGGAAAGTGCACAGTTTGCTGCATTTCTCACTGTGGCTGGGGAACACAGATGAACCTTGACCTGCCCCAGCTAGGGGACTAGCATCCTTCCCCCAGCTGTGCCCACTGGACCAGCAGCGGCCATGGAAAGGTACTTCTCACCGGGTTCCTAGCTGCTGCAGTGAGAGAGGGCTGGAGCTGTCCTCACTCCCTGGGCAGCCTGCATACTGAACCCCTCATCTCCAGCCCCACCCAGAACAATGATTGTAATGAAGCATATACTTTTTGTGTGTGTGAAAATACAATGAAATAAAAAATTGAGTTAAGGACTCAAGCAACACCAGGTAAATCATCTAATTCACAATATTTTAATTTTGTATTTTTAAACTTCTAGTAACAGAAACTGTTTGGTCTTTATGTTTATACTACACAGTTTTGATTAGGTTTGCCACCAATAAAAACAGCTGCAAAAATTATAATGGATTAATGTTATTGTTTATATTAAGCCAAAACAACCTTAATAAGCCTTTGCATGTAGTTTGTGAGAAATTTCTCTCCACCTCTTTCCCCTCCCTCCAAAAAACAAATCTAGAGAAATAAATATGAAGTGAGGTTATGAACCCTAATTCTGCAGCTGACTCTGCATGCATGGAAGTTGATGGGACTGGCTGAATACTAGGGTCTTCCCACACAAAGCCAATTTCAGGGCTGCAGCTCATGTTTGTCCTAAATTTAAAAACAATCTCCTTTGAATTTCATACTACTGTAACAGGGAGAGTGCACATCTTTTTCAAGACATAAGGATTCTCTATAAATATAAATATATAGACACTCCTTTACATGACACTAGAAACGTTCAGAGTGGATAAAATTCCACAGGTTTACCTTCATTATTTGTTTAGTTACACAAGAAGCAACCTTGTTACAAACGGAGATCAACTGAATAATAAATAAATCTGCAACCGACAGCACAAAGATGAACTGCTGCACCTGTATATAGAGCCCTGTATATGTAAAGGTATCTGCACATTATCAGTATCTGCGGATGTCAATACAGCTCATTTTTGCAGATACAGATGTGGATGCAGCTGTATCCGTGCAGGGAGTCTACCTGTATATAGCCTAAATTAAGTCAATGGAGTGCTCCGAGTACTACATATAGTCAATTGCAAAACTGAGGTCTAATAAATTGTAACTCCAAAGTACTTTTCTTCCAGAGATCTCACAATGTTTTATACAGAAGAGTGAATTATCCTCATTTTACAAGTAGCAAAATTGAGACACATAAACTAAGTGACTTGCCAATATGAAGTTACTTTTATGTGTCTCAATTTTGCTAAGTGACTTGCCAATATGAAGTTACTCCAAATTTACACCAGTACAACTGAGGCCACAATCTGGTCCACTGACTTTGTCCATCATATAAAAACATTCTTAGTAAATCTTAACTCTTTCTTATCCACTTTTGAGGCCTTTGGATACAACTATAATATATTATTATATAATAAGTTTAGGGGGAAAAAAAAAACACCTCAAAATGTAGAGTACACAAAATCCTAACCATATTTTTAAGATACGAATGTATCTTAATGTATACATTAAGAAAACTGTGGAATAAGGCACTCTGTAAACTAAAAAGATATCAACAGTAACTGGGGTGTTGATTAATCGCAGCTTATTCACATGAGATTCTCTCTCTCTATATATAAAAACAAATGTATGCTGCCACACGATGAAAATGACATCATCATGTTCTCTGGCCGCGAAAGTGGATATATATATAAAAACAAATTTATGCTGCCACACGATGGAAATGACATCATCATGTTCTCTGGCCGCGAAAGTGGCCAGAGAGCAAGGGGAGACTGGCAAGTGTAGCAAGCAGGAGGCAGTTCCCTCGTTTATTTATATTGCAAATATTTGCACTGTAAAAATGATAAACGAAACAAATAGTATTTTTCAATTCACCTCATGCATGTTTTGTAGTGCAATCTATTTATGGTGAAAGTGCAACTTACAGATGTAGATTTTTTTTAGTTATGTAACTGCATTCAAAAACAAAACAATGTAAAACTTAAGTGCCTACAAGTCTACTTCTTGTTCAGCCAATTGATAAGAGAAATAAGTTTATTTACAGGAGTTCGTGCTTCCTGCTTCTTATATACAATGCCACATGAATGTCAGAACAGGCATTCATAAGGCACTTTTAGCGGGCACTGCAAGATACTTACATGCCAGATGTACTGAACTTTCTTATGCCTCCTCATGAGTCAGCCACCATTCAGAGGACATGCTTCCATGCTGGTGATGATGCTCATTGAAAAATTAACGCATTGATCAAATTTATGACTCAACTCATTTAGGGGAAGAATACCTGAATTCTGCCATGTTATAGCAGTTTCACATGATGACCCAGCACATGTTTTTCATTTTAAAAACTCTTTCACTGCAGATTTGACAAAATGCAAAGCAGGTTTCAATGTGAAATTTCTAAAAATAGTTATAGAGCTCCACCCAAGATTTAAGAATCTGCAGTGCCTTCCAAAATCAAAGATGAACAAAATGTGGAGCATACATTCAGAAATCTTAAAAGTGCAACACTCTGATATGAAAACTAGAGAACCGAACCTCCAAAAAAGAAAAATCAGCCTTCTGCTAGTAGCATCTGACTCAGATGACGAAAATGAACATGTATTTAACTACCCAAAGTAATGAGGACTTCTGGCAGAACCTGTCATTAGCATGGATACATGTCCTCTGGACAGATGGTTGACACATGAGGGACACACAAATCTTTAGCATATCTAGCACATATATATTTTGTGACCCTGGCTATAACAGTGTCATATGAATGCCTATTCTTACTTTCAGGTGACATTATAAACAAGAACCAGACAATGTTATTTCCTGGAAATGTAAAGAAACTTATTAAGCTGTACAATAAGTAGGACTGAATGGACTTTCTAGGCGCTAACGTTTTACATACTTTTTATTTTTTTAATAGTATATTTTGTACATACAGCTATATCTATAAGTCCAACTTTCATAATAAAGAGATTGAACTACACTACTTGTATTAGGCAAATTGAAAAATATTATTTATTTTTGTTTTTTATGAAGCAAATATTTGTAATAAAAATAACTATAAAGGGAGCACGGCACACTTCATATTCTGTGTGTAAAACATTCTGATACCATAACCTCTGCACTTTTCTTGAGACAAATATAACAAGAAGCCCCACTAACTCTGCTTTAGTCTCATTTTCCAAAATTTAATGAAAATATTTGATACACTGAAAAATTGTCATTTACCCATTTTGTGCAGAACTGTTGTGTGTTTCTGAATCATCACTATCACTGATGACAATAGTGTCTTCTTCAGTACTGTTGATGTGGCCATTGGCCATTCCATTATGATGTGGTGGAGCTATTACTTCCAAAATCTTACACTGCAACCTGAAATAAAAGAAGGACATTTATAAACATGATAAAACAAAAGCTTTAAATTTGTTGAATCCATTATTTCAAGAGACAAATGTAATCCCAGAATAGAAACTGTGGTTATATATTACATAAGAGTTTCACCTTACTGCATCTGCAACTCTAACTAAATCACTTCCTTAAACATATACTAACTTGACTAAACAGGCCAGTAAGTCATTTGAATGTGTTAGTTATATATACACTTGACTTTATTTTGTTTACTTCTGTATACTTTGTTTATTTTGAAATCATTTAATAATAAGAGCTTTTGTGCTTATTTTATCCAAATGACAATTATCTTTAAAAATAAAATGAACTTTGTTACTTAGAACAAGACAGAAACCTTTTACAGTGATTTTCATAATAATCTAGGAAGAAAGAAAAGGATTTTGCATTGCCAAAGTATTTATACTAGAAAAGATCATCCTCTAGTACGGTTCATGACCCAAATAAACAAGGATAAAATGATCATTGTGTATCTAATCTTAATAATGGCCCATTTATCTCCTCACACATATTAAGGCTCCATCTGGCACACATCGAAATGACAGACAAAGCAAATCCATTCCTTTGCTATCATAAGTGCTAGTTACAAAAGAAACAAAATTAAGTGTGTTATTCAAAATCTATACTTAATCGACACTCAATATATTGCATAGCCATACAATAAACAATTCTTCGCCACTAGAGTTCATCCTTCCCCGGGTGCATGTTTTTTAGTTTAATCTCTTAAAAGATGTGTCTGCACTAAGCAAATGATCCATCACAGACAATGAATGAAGTTGAATCCTCTGATTGCAAGGGTAGCCAAAGGAAAAATACATGATAACCACCTTCTTTAGCGGAACTGAGCATCAATATTTGTAATGGAAATCACAGAATTGCACAAAGCAGAGGGCTTGAACCAACCTTTCTTAGCCACTTCAGACATTGTGAATGTAGAGTCAACAGACCCAAGATACGAAATACTTAAGAAGGAAAATAAACTGGAGAGAACCAACACTGGGGAAGGAAAGCTAAACAACAGGAAATGCTTGCAAAGGCAAAGGAATGAAACAATTAAAAACACAAACAAAAAAATGGACAAAACCTCCTACTAATCCCCTTTTCCCTCATATATAAGCATGCAGAAAAAAAGGAGGGGAAACAAGAGAAAAATTGAGGCAATTAAGTGTGTTGTCAATCTCACAGAATCATAGAACTGGAAGAGACCTCAAGAGGCCACTAGTGGCAGGACTTTTAGTAAAAGAAAGAATGGGAGAGCTATTCATGCCATCCTCTTCCCTCCATAAACTCAGAACTCCAAATGGGGGAAGAAAGCTAAGCATTAATACATCCCGCTTTCTAAAATATTTGAACCTACCTTGGTCCTAAGATATTATCAATTTATGGACAATTTCCAAAAGGAGGTCATTTGGCTACAGAATACTAACTTATGAAACACAGACTGTTTGAAATGAAGAGTCCATTTTTTCTAAATACTGTATATATTTAGCTGATAACCAGCCCAACATGTCGTGCTGTGGGTGGGGGCCGCTCCAGTTTGTCTGCGGCACAGGGTGGTGTGCCTGGCTGGGATGAAGCAGTTCCCCCACCCATTGTGGCCAGGTGCCAGTTAACTGGTTACCATATAAGCAGGCCAGTAAGGCAATGCTTATCAGATAACTGGTTAACCAGTTATCCCTTTACATCCCTATTTCAAAGGGATCATCTGGAGGTAAGGAAAGAAAGGAGGCACTTATCAGCTGAGGTTACTGGCAATGGGATAGAGACCTTCATCTTTAGATCACTGTTTAAAATACTTCACATGATAATCACAGCTGGAAACTACCCTTCCACAGCTGCTGGTTAACCTATGTAATGTACAGTGGTTGATAACTGTCCAAACCACAAAAACTACAATTTACAATTAACATAAATTGGCATTTTTAATACAATTTCAGCATGATCACACAAAGATTTAACTACTCCAATACCTCTAAGAGAGTCCTGCAAGGGGTTCAGGCACACTGGCATAGTAGTTCAGAGAAGTCTGCCCTACTTCTGCTAATACCATATTTGTTGTGCAAATAGACCTAGTGACACCTTAGAGGGAATCCCAAAATCATCTCTCACATGCACATTAACATTACTACAATATAATAGAAGAAACAGGGTGCTTGTCAAAGACAAAGGTCCAACAAGATTTGCCAGACACATGTCCAAAGGCCTATAACTACTATCCAAGCCAACTCTAAAGATAATTGGACTAGTAGGATTCAGTCTAGCAGGGTGATAACTGTGTTTCAATGTTACTATATGGATTTATCTATGCTCATCCAGTCCTCAATTAGCTTGCTACTGTACTAGCAAGAAGACAGTACATGTTTCAAGGGAGGAAAAATAAATTGGGAATTGTGTTTCACCTTTTTCCCCCACCCCAAAATGTACTCGCATTTAATGTACTCAGAAAACCAATGTGCCTTAATACATACATCTGTCTTAGAGTGAAGAGTTCAATACTAAAAGAACTGCCTGTATACAGATGCATTATCTTCTTCATATCTATTAAATAATTACACTACATAGTTTCAAAGTGGTTTTTTATATGCTAAACAAATAAATTTCCCTGAAAATGTTATCCAGTTCAATTTGGCTAACATTTTTTAAAATGAATTTCTACTAGAAAACTATTAAAAGCACTAATCAGTTCTGAAGTCATAGCCATTAACCTCATTCTATCATTTTTAGCTTAATTTTTAAAGAGCCACAAGAGGGAGCTAAAACTGAAAAAATATTAAAAGAGCCTCATGAAAGTTTAAGGTAGAACAGACTGAATTTCATAACATACTAAATTCTACAATACATCATCACAAATTGAAATAATTTAAAAACTGAAAATGGTTAACTTTCCTGGAAGCTGCCCAATATTTAATCAATGAGCATTTCAACACAACATATATTTACCTCTTTATCCATTTGCTAGGTCCAAAGGGAAGAAAAAAAACCCTGTCTATCCTCTCACTTCCCACAATAGCTGAGACTCTGCTCAACTGTTATGCCCTATAAACTTGATCCAGAGAAATAACAAGAACCTTCAAACACAGTGAGGGTGATTAATCATTTGAACAAACTACCAGAGAAAGGGGTGGAGTCTCCATCTCTTGATGAGTTCAAATTAAGACTGGATGCCCTTCTGAATGAAAGGTTTTAATTAAACAAGCTATTGCACTTAATACAAGGCTAAGTGGGTGACATTCTGTAGCCTGTTATATTCAAGAGGTCAGACTAGTTAGTCAGTTTACATATTATGGTGATAACAGTTTTCACAATAATAGTGAATCTGAATAAAATCTGTGACATGCCCTTCCCACACACAACCAGCAGCAGCAACTCCTGTCCCATGGGAATGGACCAAGCCTCACACATCCTGGAGACAGGAGAATCAAAGGGACCATGCCCCACAGCCTGTTAAACCTGGCTGGAAGGAAATGTGCCACAACCTGAACCAGCCAGCATCCATGTCATCATGCAGCGTACTGGCCAGGTTCTACTCTGAATCAGGCTGCTTGCTGGCAGTCAGGTCCCCACCCACTAACTGCGAAAAAATGTGGTGGTGGCACTTCTCAGGACAAGCGACGAACAGAATCTATCACCAGAGGGTGTCAGGTTCACAAGCACGAAATGTAAGGAAAATGTGGGAGAGGTTCCACCCAGTTTTGCAGTTCTTCCAGAGCCTCCCTCCCCTCCCCAAGATGAAGACAGGAGCATGGATGTGCCAAACTTGATTGGTGCTGCGACCACATGTGCCAGGTCATAATGCCTGGAGTACAGAGACTCCAGTCCCACACAACAGGAGCCACAACTATGAAGAGGGCTTTGCTCTCCAACAATGCCTCTTCTCCTCTTGAGTCTCACCTTACAGCAAAACCACTATATAATCCAACTACACTGTATTTACCCATTATAAATGAAACCATTTAGAGATCTTTCTGTGACTTTTCATTTTTTTCTTTCACCTCTGCCATGAAATTTACTAACATTTTCTGTACCAAAACTGTACCCTTAGTTACCAATCTTATTTTAGGTCATAAGGCAGATAAAAGAAAACAGATGAATACCAAATAAATACCAAAATACCTCTTTGACTAAGAGGGAAAACAGCAAGCTCTCAGAAACAGCCCTCTAATTGTAAAGTTCTTTCTAACAAGGATAACTTCAACATGAGCCAGGTAAGGAAGAACTTAGGTTAACCGAGACTCATTAAACGTTATAAAAAATTCTCACAAATTATTTGAGTTAATTAGGTTTCTTTTTAAAATTCTAGTGTGATCTTCAGTAACATGTATTTTACAAACTCTGAAAATGGAAGGCCTAATTCAAACCCTCTGACTTCAGAAAACTTGGATCAGGGCCAGTCAAGCTGTATATGTAGAAACAACTTGCTGCAGAAGAACATACTAAGGGTGTGCCTACACAGCAAAGTTATTTCAGAATAACGGCCGTTATTCCAAAATAACTATGCAAGCATCTACACAGCAATTCGGTTATTTCAAAAATTTCAAAATAATGGACTGCTTATTGGAACTTCTGTAAGCCTCACTCTATGAAGAATAACGCCTATTCCAAAATAGCTATTTCAAAATAAGGCATGTGGAGATGCTCCACATCTGCTATTTCGTAATAGCACCCCACCAGGGCCATTCTAAGTTATTCCTCTTGGGGCTCTAAATAGAGATAACACATCTACATTAGGGAAGCCTGCCTCAGACTAATTTTGAGGCTTCCCTGCAGTGTAAACATGCTATTTCGAAATAAGCTATTTTGGAAAAACTATTCTAGAATAGCTTATTCCAAAATAACTCTGCAGCGTAGACGTAGTCTAAAAGTTTTAGGCTCGTCAACATGCTCATTTAACTTGCAGTAAACCGGAGTGTTAATCTACCCAGTGCTAGCCAGATATGAACTGTCCCTTTGGACTCTGCTGACACTTT